TGACTGTCAGAGTCACCTTCCAAAGTCACACCTTAGGGACTTTCTCTGAGGAATTGCTCCTAACTGTTGAAGGACAACCAGAACTTCTGACCCTGACCTTCAGGTGACCGTCAGCTCAGACTTTATTGGTAGATCTGTCGGAAAGAATTTTTATTTTTTCATGGCTCATGGTTGTTTCTTGTCCTATCAGGGGCTGCGTTGTTGGTCCCACGTTCCACTTTGACGTTCTGGAGCTTAACTTTGGAGATGTGGCCTTTGGTGGGTTAGATTTTTTTTGTTTTGCTTTTTACACGTCACATTGTAATACTGTTTGACACCACAAGGAGTCTCAGAGAATTAGTATATCTACAGTTGTTCAACTTTGGCTCAAAAACCTCAATTATTATTTTTTTTAATAATTTCTCAACATCTCCAACTCTCCTCGTAGGTTTCCCACAAACAATGACCTGTACCCTGTTCAACACTTCCTTTGTGCCCATGAACTTTGTCCTGCGAGTCCTGGGAGACGGTCAGGGGTCTCCCAGTGTAACCAGTGACAGGCAGGTGTGTGAGATGACCTTGAACAACTGGCAGGGCGGCGCCGCCAAAGACCCTTGGTCACGGCCTGTGGAGTTCAGCGTCAGCCCTGCTGCCGACTCGGTCCGCGCCATGTCTGACGTCACTATTAAGGTAAAATTTTGGCCACACCAAAAATGTGCTGCCATGTCTGACGTCACTATTAAGGTAAAAAAATGTGCTGTGGTTGGCCCCCGAGCCAGAGTTTGGACACACCAAAAGTACAACTTAGAAAATATAGTCAAAAAATGTTGTGTTAACAAACAGCTCACATTTTCAGTGGCCCACACAGAAACCAAACAATTAAATAATAACATGGTTTTCAATATATGAATTTAAAAAAAGCCAGGTCCTAAAGTCAATAAACAAATGTGATACAACAAAACCTGAAACGCTGAGAATATCCAGCGTTAATTAATGGCAGTCTTTTCTAAACTTCAAAAACAAACCCACCTTTTCCCGCCGTCTGAAGGACTAATTATATTTATCCCTTCCCTCGGTGTTTATTAGGTTTAATTAAAACCAAGGTCAGTAAATATGAGCATCAGCAGGAGAACTTAAGGACCGGGAGAATTCTGGCGTCCTTGTAATGGAACTCATTTACCGTGATGTGTTTTGGCCTCGGTAATTAACATAACAATTTGAGACTCCGAGTTTTTAATGCCAGCTTTAAGGAGCCGTCGTCAGGATTCGGTGGATATTAATGATTAATATTTCCATAAAACCTCACAACCTCTATGCAAACGCGAATGTCCTGAGTGAGAGGCGGACATTTGTACTTTTTACATTTCTCTGCAGAGCTCTGTGTACGAAAAAACTCATTAACAAATCCTCAGAGTCACGGAGGGAAAACGGGAAACTGGAAAATTGCTGTCTCAACATTTGCTTAAATGATGGGAGATAAAAACATCTCACACTGCAAAGAAACAACTTTTGGGGTAAAACTTACACACAGTAACTTCATACTGTGGAAAACAAAAACACAGGAAAATGAACAATGGCAGTGATGCCTTCTTTGTCCTAAGGAAAAATTGGACAAACGTCAACTATCCTCAGCTACATTTATGATTAAGGAAAAATTGGACAAACGTCAACTACCCTCAGCTACGTTTATGATTTTGTGCATTGATGCAAAAGCTCAGTACTTTACATTTTAATCCATCAGGGTGCGCTGGTGCTCGGTTTTGAAAACTGTTCAGTTTAATTCACGGGTTTTCTTTCAGTCGCAATAAATTCACAAGTTCTCAGAATCAGTCTTTAAGAGGTGGAGATGACCTGTTCTGTTTGACAGCCACTAGAGGGACGAATGACTCTATTAAAATGGAATTTCTCTCAGTTTCCTTCCACATTTTCAACCTTGTACTCCGTTCTTCCTGTGTGTGTTTGGTTGATGTTGAACAGGTGACTCTGTGCTCCAACACAGTCAGGACGTACAGACTGGCCCTGGTGGTGGATGTGGAAGGTGTCGGTGAAGAGATCAAGACTCTGCCAATCAATGCCAGGTCAGAAAAAACACGACAGAAAATGTAAAGAAAACAAATGTTTGGAGTTTTTTTTTTTTTAAGATTTGCAGCCAAATATTTAATTCACAAAATAAGTGCGTGTCAGTTTATTATTTCATTCTTGTTCTCAAGGCCATTAAAGGTCTTTGATCGTCTCGTCCTGTCAGTTTGAAAAATGCACCTTAAAGAGATTAAATGAGAATAAATCGCCCTGCCTCTGCCGTAGTCGAGATCTGTAATGATGAATGAAAAAGTGTGTTTTGCCAGTTTCCATAAAACTGCTGTCGTCCATCTTGGATTTAACAACCTTCGTTCTGCACAAGTACAAACACTTCAATATGAAGTAGAACACTTAAATATCGTAAAGTAAACCACTTAAATAACGTAAAGTAGAAAATCTAAATAACAAGTACGTTGTCTTTTTCTCCACCTGCTGGCTGTGGAGCAGAGCTGCGGCGATGCTTTGACCATCTGTGAACGCGGTCATTGAAGCCTCCGTACAGGTGTCGACAAATCATCGCTGTACTAAGTTAAATATTCAGCCTCCAATTTGCATAATAATACATGTGAATGTCACCTGCGGCGTGGCTCAGAATAGGGCCGACGGTGATCAGGCTTCCTCGCGGCGATCGCCTTCATTGAAAATGTATGAAATGGTTCTAATTAATGCTCTGTCGTTTTGGCACAATGCAGCGCAATTACTGCGCTGAGCCATAAATAAACCTGGGATCAGCGGCTCCTACGGCTGACAAGGCTGAGACGCCGAGTCTGGAAATCTTCTGTTGGCCTGACAAAACCTCTAATCAGAACTTTAATCATCAGACGTTTCCCGTCTGATAACTGCTGCGGCCTCCGCACTCAGTCCGACATGGCGAGTAATAAAGTGTTTCATCAGCGCTGACCCTCCTCAAATAACACCATATTATGTTGTGCTCTTAATTTGAAGGGTCAACACAAAGCCACCACCAACACCGGACCGAATCCACTTAGTTTGGTGAAAAAAACAAACAAACAAATCAGTGAAATTTAGAATGTTGTTTTATGAATCCTAATGACTTCCTGAGCTCGTTTGCAAATATTGATTGGTTTCCGTCGCCTAATTACAAAACCAAGAGCTGAAACGTTCTTTTAGGCAAACTCAGTTTGTCTGATCTCATCCGTCATCTAATTTGGGGGTTGGTATTAGTGCTTCAATTCCCTAAAAGAGACAGAAATTAAATTTGTTTTCATATAAACTGAAACCAAACAAACAAACAGAAGTTTGGACCAAGGACTTTTAAAATACTTCACTTTGAAACTTTATTTATTGTTTAGTAAAAGAAATATCGGGCCGACAAATATAGTTTATGTTTTAAAAGCAGATAAAAAATAAATACAGAATTTTACTGAAACTGCTCAGGCTGCAACTCCGTGTTATTTGACAAATGAAAATAAATGTTTGAAACAACTAAAGTGAGCCAGAAAAATATCAGAAAAAAAATAATTTGCCCTCAAGACTAAATAAAGTTAAAAAAATCAAACAAACATTTATTGCTGAAAACAAAGTTTTCTCATCATCCATTTTTTTATTGCCTTTTAGCCAAACCGCAGTACCCTTTAATTCCACAAGTGACGCCAAGAGCTGTTGTTTGGAAAGCATTGTAATTTTCTTTTTAAACTAATTTTTAACTTATTTTTCTTAAACCTTTTCCCGTCTCTCTGTTGTCTGTTGACAGATGTGTTGTTCCAGAGGTTTCCGTGGAAACGCCGTTGGTCGACTTTCACAGGTGTTTTCTCAATCATCCCCATGAGCAGCACATACGAGTGTCCAACCCCAGCGCCCTGCCCGCCTGCTACGGTCTTCTTGACCAGGTAACGTAGAACACTCAAATATCGTAAAGTTGAACTCTCAAATATCCTATAAGTAAAAAAACGTTCTCCTTTCCCTCCTCAGGAATATGAAGAGTCTCCGTTGTTACTCTTTTTCTCCTCCAAACCCAGAGGGGTGATTCCTCCTCACTCCTCAGAGAAGATTCCCGTCACCATTTTGGCCAAATTCACTGGAAGGCTGCACCACGTTCTTCGCATCACTGTATTTGGCAGCTCCCATGCTCCACTGGTAAGTGGTACTGTCGCTGCGTTCATGTGATTTGCGCCACCTTGAGGTTAAATGAAATGATAAATGAATGTAGTTTTATGAATCATTCAAAAACTCCTTTTTTCTTTTGTTCCGTTGAAGGAGGTGATCTTGTCATGTGTCGGTCAAGGTCCAGTCGTCTACATTCAGAACCCACAGTTGGACTTTGGCAGAATCCCGGTTCTGAAGGACGCCACCAGAACTCTACTGCTCTTAAACCACTCCCCTATTCCAGCCAGCTTTAAAACAACGATGGTACAAACCTTTTTACCCTTCACTTCTACAAATAATACTAACAACTCACTAATATATATATACACACACATTTATGTCTATATATATATATACAGTATATATATTTATGTTTATATATATTTTTTTTTCTTTTTATAATAGGATAAATCAAATTTTTAGAAAATTAAGTTTGATGTTTGTTGTCAAAAGATTTTAAAAAAATAATTTTAAATTTAAAAAATATATGGATATATATATTTATATATATGAGTGTATATTTTTTCTTTTTATAATAGCGTTAATCAAATATTTAAAAAGATCAGAGTGATGTTTGTTGCCAAAAGTTGGTTTTTAATAAAAAGAAATATATATATATTTCTTTATAACAGACTAAATCAAACTTTTTAAATGAGAATGGACTAAAATGACTTTGACGTTTCTTCCACTTAAACTAAACTATGCTACAATTGAGGCAAATGAATGAACTAAACTAAACAAAACTGAAGATTTCTAATGGAGATTCTAATGCGGTAGAAATGTTAACATTTCCATTCAAACATACTGCAGCTGTAGTTTAATTTAGAATATAAGAGGAAAAAAAAAACAGCAGAAATGAAAACTTTATTTCCAGGTTCTGAGGCGGGACACGAGCTAACGGGAGTTTCTGTGGCGTGGTTTCTCTGCTTCTCTCCTTTCCATTCACTGTCTCTTCCCCTGAGTAATTACATTTCAGCAGAGTTGGACATGTAATTAATGACTTATCTGGTTTAGAGCTTTGTCGCTGCTGAGATCAATTATTTGTCCAGTGAATTCCAGTCGTCTCCTCAGACGCGGGATTGTTTTTCTTGGTGAACTGCTCAGACCAGGAGACTTTGTCAATTCGCGGTGACAAAAAACAAATATGTGATTACAATCATCGGGATTTCCTCACACTCATGACCTTTAAACTCCACTGCACAAACTGTGGGCTTTGAAGAAACCTTTTTTTTTTTACCCCGATGCTCGTCCAGCCTGGAGGCCGTGTAGAAGTTGGAGTTTCCAGGTTGAAGAACCTGTTATTATTTATCCTGCTTACTCAGTATAAATGAAACGTTCCCGCAGTGTGACACCTACAATTTATCACATTCGCATTTTTTTTCCACTTGCCTCCTAAAAGCCTGCCGTACCCGACTGTACGTCGTCTTATCAGCGCCGCCTTGTATCCTTGAAGAACAAACTCGTGGCTGAGACTGTGATTATTACTCATCCTCCCTATAGGCATCTACACACACACACACACACACACACACTCACACACACAGTATAAACGCTTATAATACATTCCCTGGCCCGCAACCTATGGCTCGTGGGCCACATGCGGCTCTTCAGCCTCTCTCCATTGGCTCGGTGGAGGATGATGTCATCACGATTCTTGACTGGACCAAATCAACAGCAACTGGGATTTTCAAAGATAAAACATTCACGATGAACACGTGTCCAGTCAGGCCACACAGAGTACACACCAAGTATACTCAGTACACACCAAGTATACTCAGTACACAGTAGTATACTCAGTACACAGTAGTATACGGTTCGTCTACTACTCTTGATGAATTTAATTTAGTAGTAAAATAGTGAAAATCTTAATAGTAAACCCTCTTACTCTGTCAAATCTCTCCAACAAAATATCACTTAACCAGGGACACACGCACACAGAGGCAGGCACCGGTGACCCTGACGTCTCCTCTGAGGCAGCGTTGAGTGAAGGAGTTTCTCCTCCGCTCTCTGGATTGGATGAACCGATCGATGCGGGTTCTTCTTGAATTACATCTGGTGCAGCTCGACGGGCCGGCAGAGTAACACACAAATAGACCTGATGACAGAGAATCTCCCACCGTCTGCGTGTCACCGGAGTTATCAGTGAAACATTAGCTCTTAAAAAAAAAAATGTTAAAAATTCATATCATTTACGGAGCCAATCAGAAGCCTCGGCAGATTCTGTTGCTTTCTTTACGGTTGGAAAAACCACAAAGTGAAGAACCCTGTAGTTTTTTGTTTTTTTTTTTGGGTCTCGGGTGAACGGCACAAACACGAGCCTCGTAATAAAAGCATTACCGTACATCTATTTTCATTAGCTGTCCAGTAGTTGGCAGCAGAGTTGGGCTGCAGTACTACCTGCAGTACTGTAGTAGTAGTATTACACCCGTGCAGGATTTATGCAGCTATTTACGCCGTTGATTGTTGGGTGGAGTTCCTAATCCTTCTCACCATCGCTGCAGACCAAAGCAATCAATTCTAATCAGGCTACGGGACGCTGCCGGTGTGATGTGATTACTGAGATTCCTGTCGTCGCGCTTTTCTCTCTCCAGGGACTCGACCCTCATGCTCCCACCGCTCCTCTGGCTCCGTATCAAATATATATGCACAAAGTAAACACTGATTATTCATGTCACTGGCTGATCACGGGTCAGCGTGTATCTGCCACATTTTAGTCCGGTGAATATTCCTGGATTTTTTTTTTTCTTCTTCTATCCTCGTACATAGAAAAATAAAAAAAAGCTAAGTGCCCCCTCCTGGGAGCATTTTACTCATGGAAGAAACTACTTTTTTTTCTCTCTCAGAGCCACAGAAAGTCCTTTTGGAGAGTTCTGCCCAGTGAAGGAGAAGTTCCGCCCGACAACCAGCTGGAGCTTCAGGTAGTGGCCCACCTCAGGGACACAACCCACTTTCAGGAGAAGATGGAGGTGTCGATCCAGGACGGTCAAACGCACGCAGTTCTTCTGTCGGCCACAGGCACCGGCTCCACCATCGTCAGCGACAGACCGTTTGCCCCGAGTCTTGACCTAGGAACTCACTTTAGGTAAAAACACCAAATGTTTTTTTCATGGTTAAAAACACAAATATATTTATATACATGTTTATACTGTATATGTATGTTGCCAACAGCTATTGACAATGTCAAAAATAAATAATGATTAGCCAAAAGTAGTGAACTAGCATTAGTAAAAGTTAAAACGTGGCTAATCATCGAGTAAACGAAGGTGAAACTTGAAAAGCAACGTTAGCCGTAACGTTGCTAAAATTAGTCGAAACTAATCCAAAAAGTAGTCAAAGTGTAACTAAAAACTGAACGCTAGCTACGCTAATAATTAAATGTTGCATAAAAGTTAATGAACTTGAAATTTAGTCGTAGTTAAATCTTAGAACCAAAGGGAAAAAGTCGGCAAGTGGAAAAAAAAAACTTAAAAAAACAAAGGTTTTATTTCACGTTATGTTATGTGATAAAAAAACAAAGGTTTTATTTCACCAACATGTGAAAGTTCGACCGATGACTAACGTTGTTCTTTGAAGTCACGGACCGTGCCAGTACCGCTTCAAACTGACCAACCGTGGACATAGGACCCACTGGATGAACTGGGGAGGCAACGGAGGGTTCAACGCTCAGTCTAAAACCCGCCTCAGCAGCCAAGGTTTTTTACCTCCCATCTCCTCACCGAAGAAGAAAGACCTCCCGCTCCACGGCTCGATGGTGGCCCCCAGAGAAGACCCCGTGTTTAGCCTCAGCCCACGTCGAGTCAAGCTGTTACCGGGCTGCTCCGTTGACATGGTGCTGACGGGATTTTCCGACACTGCTAAGGTGAGGCGCCCCCTATGGTTTGGGCTCTAAACATACACATGCTAACATATATTTCATTGTCCTTCCAGGTTGTGCAGGAGCTTCTGGTGTGTCGCGGCACCATCGGTGACCACGGCTGCATCCAGAAGCTCATGTCGGTGGACGTGTCCTGTCGCTTCGTGACTCCTCTGCTCAGCTTCTCCTCCAAGCAGCTGAACTTCTCCGTTACAAAGGTGGCGGTTTGAATTTTTACACATGAAATCACAGTGACCCTGAAATGATCCAAGGTCACTGATTAAGGGGCCCACGAGCCACCTATTTGCAGATT